TATCATGATATTTCGGACGATGTCAAGGCTAAGAATGAAAAATAGCTGATTTGTGGCTGAATAAGAGTAATAAGTATAAAATATATATTGAACAATTTTAAAAAATGATTTAAATTCGTAACATATATAAATAAAAACAGAAATTCGTACTACTTTTTATAACTAATAAATCTTCTTTTATATTATGTTATGTAATTGTAAACATTAGATATCTTAATTTACTTGTTTATTAATTTACTTGTTTAATAATATATTTATAAATAATAATAATATAAGTATAATAATAATAATATAAATATATAAGTGTGGAAAAATTTGGCATTGACTTATCTGGCTGTGTTTATCGTTAATCGTTTTTTTATACGCTTCGATATGCATGACAGTGTATCTCTACAGCTCATATACGTTCTGCTGTAAATGAAGCTTCTCGCAGTATCACGATGGCAAGCCTGCGTGGCGAGAGTGTAGAGTGTTATGCTCAACATAAGCTATTTAACGAGGAGAAAAGATATGCAGCAGCACATTTAAACGAGACTGATGAAACTAGAGAGAATGCAATCAAGGAAATCAAACGCTGGCTCGAGCAGAGTGACGACTTGCACGTACGAATCGGTAAAAGTCACAGTTATTCATGGCGAAAGCGTCGAAATATTGCTTTATAAAATTTAATTATACTTTATTATAATTCTAAAGTAATAAAACGAAATTACTTTCAATCTGCATCGACATGACGTTATATTTGACGCTTTGTTCTCTCTCTTTCTCTTAATAATAAAACAAAATAAAAAATGATATGTGTGGCGTTCGACTTCGTTACAAGAAAAAAACTAACGAGATCGGAAAGATTTAATAAATAATAGTAAATAATAATAAATAGTGATTTGATAGCAAATTTTTATGTTCGTTTCCTATTGAATTTATATACCGTTATGTTTTAAATCAAACAGTTTTCTGATCATATACCTTTGAAGAATCGAAGAATAAACAAAAGTTATTTATAGAAACACTTAAAACATAAATATATTTAAAAGTTTTTTATAGATACATTTAAAATGTAAATGTACTTTATTAAAAGTATGTTTGATTATGTGGAATATTTATTTACGCAAAATAAAAATAAATTTAATTATACGATTTATTCTTTAACAGTAATGTATGTATAATGACAATAGCGCGCGCATTGCGTTTATCAGAGACAACTAATTAATTAGCGCTTAGTGATTCTTTAATGTGATTGGTTCTTATCTTTAGTTCTTTGTTGAATTCAAGTAGAAATCAATCATTAAAGAATCACTAAGTGCTAACTGATTAGTTTTCTCTACTGAACGCAACTATTACGTTCAGAAATAGCAACAATTAAATAGCTGTTTAATAACTAACAATAAATAAAGGGCAAAGTGAGAGTCAACACATTTCTATAAAAAAAAGTCATCTAATTAAAAGAATAAATTATCAATAAAGAAAAAATAAAA